CTAATTTTACCGCGTCTGGAAATGCCCAAATTGAAGCTTGCAAAACCCTAAATATTGTTAATGGTAAATCTTCATATAGGGCACGAAAACAAAATTAAACTATTGGGTTAGCATTAGAATCAAACAATGAACATGAATCAAGCGTTAAAAGTTACAAAAGATGCATGAATTGAGATGCACGATTATGAAGTTTTTTCTGTACAGGTGGTCACCGTGTTACCAATTTAGGGCGTTAGAATGATTGATTTCGATTGGAAAACTCTCCTTGAAGCCTCAGGAAGCTAATGAGATAAAAATCTTGCCTTGAATCGCCTTAAAACTTGGTTTTCAGAATTCACTTTTTTCACAAAAAATTCAAGTTTTGTTTCCTATGTATGGCACAGCTTGCAGTCAGTGAGCACGAGGGTTTTGATCCAGCTTATGTATGGAATGATTAGGTCAAATAAAATTGGTCCAAAATCCATGAATTGATGAATGTAATATTTGATTTTTAAGCCATGATATTTTCTAATCTTTTCATGCAAATTGATATCAAATCATGACAAAACCTTCCAAAAATGATTATGCACGAATCTTGAGTGTCCAATGAGAGTATTTTCTGCACAAAAAGATTTGATTTCATGAGTTTAGTATTTTTTCATATTTTATTTAGTTTAAATGAATTAATTGTAATAAAAAATTCAAATAAATAAATAAAAATAATAAAAACTTCCCTTTGGGCCAAGTGGTCGTGCACATGCCTTGGATGATGAATTGTGGAAGAAAAATAGGCCCATTAGCAATTTTAGGTCATTTGAAGCAATGTTGACTTTTCAAAATATCCAAAAATTTCCCAACTTCCACAAGGCATAACTTGCTCAATTTTTAAGCTTTGCTCATGTTCTTGGACATTTTGGAAAGGTCTTTGAGTCCTCTAACCAATGCCTTTGGTCCCATGTCATGTTGATTTACCAATCTCAAGTTATGGCCTTTGACTTAAAGTCCCTTTTTGTTGACTTTTGAAAATGACCTATAATGTTGAAATTGATAACTTTTTGTGAGAGCATTTCTTGGACTTGAAGTATGAAGAGGAGTTGTAGGAAATGTCTTTCTCTTCAAAATTAGCTTTGGATGGAATTTTTATGATAATCCATGTGAAAGTTATGCCCTGGTCAATTTACAGTTGACTTTTTCAGCTGTCCAAATAAGGAAACTTTTGCATCTTGATGATATTTTGAGCCAAGCTTTGAGAATCATGATCAAGCATTGATCAAATGATGTTTGTGGTTTCAAAATGAGATGTTGACCAAAAATTTGGACTTTTGGCTGTCAAATGACCATTTTGCCCCTACAGTTGACTGTAGTGCAATTAGGGTTTTGACTGTGCAATTTTGTGCTGAGAGTCTTGAAACTTGGTATGAGGAGGCTTGACCATGTTTATAGGCATGTGAGACTTGATTGGACCCTTGGAAACTTCATTTTCTTGATCAGAACTAAAACCCTAATTTTGACTGTTTAGGATACCCTTGCACTGTGCAACCCTTGGAGAATTTTGCAGCTTGACTTGGCAATTTCTTGAAGAATATGGGAGGGCAAATTTTGGGGTACAACATACACGAACTTATCACAAAGTAACCTTACCCCGGTTCATTCTAAAGTTTTACACGAACTTATCACAAAGTAACCATACCCCAGTTCATTCTAAAGTTTTACACAAACTTATCACAAAGTAACCTTACCCCAGTTCATTCTGAATTTTTACACAAACTTATCACAAAGTAACCTTACCCAGGTCCCTCTTGAAGTTTTACACAAACTTATCACGAAGTAACCTTACCCAGGTTCCTCCTGAAGTTTTACACAAACTTATAGCCTTACCCCAGTTCATTCTGAAGTTTTACACGAACTTATCCCAAAACAACCTTACCCAGGTTCCTTCTTGGTTCAGATGCAGTTTTACCCAAACTCCTCACAAAGCAGCCTTACCCAGGTTCCTGCTCACGACCCTACTATCCAGGATTTCATATCGAAGCAACCCTACTATCCAGGTTCCTTCTCACAGCCCTACTATACAAGCTTTCATATCAAAGTAACCCTACTGCCCAGGTTCCTTCTCACAACCCTACTATCTAGGCTTTAATATCAAAGTAACCCTACTATCCAGGTTCCTTCTCACAGCCCTACTATTCAGGCTTTCATATCGATGTAACCCTACTATCCAGGTTCCTTCTCACAACCCTACTATCCAGGCTTTCATATCAAAGTTACCCTACTATCCAAGTTCCTTCTCATAACCTTACTATCCAGGTTCCTCCTCTCCTATCTCCAAACAACAGTCCATAACACTGTAAGAGCAGGGACCTAATCAAACTCGCATTTCCCCCGTAGATCAACTGACAACTAAAGCTCCTAAAACTCTATTTCTCGAGACAAATACCAATGCTCCTCAGCAGATTTCTCATCAACAACAGCAACAGGGACTCTCGTCGAAGGAATGTCTCAGGAAATCAACACTATCTAGATGGCATCTTTAAGCCCATTTCCGATGACTCTCTATCATCAACCTCCAAATGGCATCTATAAGCCCATTCCAGATATCACAAATCAAGTGCCACTTCATGCGAGTGCAAATTTCTGGGCACTCTAGTGTTCAATCATCTTCCACCTTCAGATCACGAAAAGCAGGCTAGCCAATCTACATCCTCGGATTTAAGAATATTGAACAGGGGAAGTTGTTGTACCCCAAAATTTTCCCTCTCATTTTACTCAATACATTTCCATTGAGATCTTCAATTTGCTCAAGATTTCCCAAGAGTTGACCAGACAAACTCTCTCCTAAGGCAGTGCACCTCAAAATTAGGGTTTCTATTTTCATCAAGATGGGTGAGCCACAAAGGCCTCATATGCTCTCCATAGTATTAATATGTTCCCAATACCCTACATGTCAATTTTCATGCCTTGTACAAGAAGTTTTCTCAGTCAACTGCTCAGATGCTTGAGAATCGACTGTATTAGGTCAAAAGTCAACTGTGACCCACATACAGTCAAACTTCAAGATTTTTGGCCAACATTAACATTTTTAAGTAACTTTCATCATTTTATCAAGGTTTGACCATGATTCCCCAAGGAATGCTCCAAATTCATCAAAACCCAAAAGTTGCTAAATTAGGGTTTTACAAGAAAAGTCAACCCAAATTTGACCAAGCATAAATTATTCATACTTTATCAGAAATTTCCCATCCAAGGCTCATTTTGAAGAGGATTTGATTCCCTACAATTCATCTTCATCCCTCAAGTACAAAATATGCACTCATCAAAAGATATGAATTTCTACATTATAGGTCCTTTTGAAAGGTCAACAAAAACACCTTTTGGGTCAAAGCTTCATATATGAACATGGAAGATCCAATTGAGATGAAAACAAAGGGTTGTTTAGGGGACATCCTAATATTTCTAAAAAGTCCAAGAACACCCTCCTAGGGTCAAAATTGAGAGAGTTGTACATTGTCAAAATTGGCAATTTTTGGAAAATTGTCAAAAGTCAACATTGATCAAATTTGCATTTTTTCCAAAGGGGCCCATGTTTTCTTGCTTGAAACATGTTTCTAATAGGACCTGTAGCAGTGAAAATCGGAGATCAAGCTATTAATTAACTTGACTCACAAAAAGCAAGAGTCGCCACCGCGCTTTATTATTTCCAAGGGAAAAGGGAAAAGAGCGAAATAAAACCCTAAAGTATGCAATGTAAAATAATACTTAAAAGTAATAAAAATACAATGCGTTTTTGAAAGAGATCGAGAGTTCGGGGGTTGGTTATACAATGGGAAGGTATTAGCACCCAATGCATCTGCGATACTCCGCAGGAACCTTTTGAAATATCTGTTTTTTGGTTAAAAATTGTTTGTTTGATTAAAATGGTTCGTTTGGCTAAAAAATGGGTATGGACGAGATTTTGAAGATGCGACGACCTAGTGTCGAAGTTTTGACTTAAAAGGTGTGAGTTCGAAAATGGAGTCTTTTGGGAAAATTATCTTGAGTTTAGCAAAATAGTAAACAAACAAAAAATGAAAAAAAAAGTATTCGCACGATCGGATAAGATGTGTTTGATGACATGAAGTCAGCTGAGTTGAAACATTTCCCTTGGAATAAGCAAAATAAAATGAACATCAAAATATAAACATTCAGAAGTTCACAAGAAAATAAATCTGACAAGAACAAATTAATGATCAAGAGGCACCGAGAAATTGAAATGACAGAAATATACAAATAAAAAGGAATATAACTAATTATCTAAAGAAGTTATTCGAACTAAATTAAAAATTACTTACTAAAATAATTCTAAACTAATTACAAATTCTAAGGTTATATAAAAAAAATCTAGTATTATTGAATTTGATCGAAACTAAACTAAGGTTTAAAATTTAGTAAGTTAAATCTAGATTAAATTAAAATCCTAAGGTTACTAAGTTAAACCTAAAACAAATGAAAATTTCAAAGTTACTAAACTAAATCTAAATCAAATAAAATTCTAAAACTACTAAACTAAATTTAAATCAAATAAAAACTCTAAAGTTATTAAACTAAATAAAAATTATAAACTTATTAAACTAATTCTAAATCAAATAAAAATTATAAATTTATTAAACTAATTCTAAATCAAATAAAAATTCTAAAGTCACTAAACTAAAACTAAACAAATAAAATTCTAAAGTTAACTAAATAAAATCAAATAAAATTCTAAAGTTATTAAACTAAACTAAAACAAATAAAATTCTAAAATTTACTAAATGAAATAAAATTCTAAAGTTATAAAATAAATCTAAACTAATTAAAGAATTCTAAATTAATATTAAACTAAATTAATTATAAGATTTACTAATATATTTTTTTTATTTTTTTTATAATATGAAAAGCATTGGAAAGAGACCTAATAAAATAACACTGAATTAGCAGACAAAACATAGCAATTGAGTATAGTACACAAAATAAGTAAGCAAACGCATTCATAATTTAAAATTGGCATGTTCAAAAGAAAACTAATTTCGAACAAAATTGTACTGAAACAACTATTATATGAATGGATTGTGAACTCTGACTTCTCAAGGTCATCACTTCTTGTTGTCCTCCTTTTCTGCCTCAGCAACTCTCTTGAGCCTAGCACCAAGGTGACGCTTGTTTGTGCGTTCAAGGCGGAGCTTGTAGTAAGCTTTGAATGCCTTCATTTCATCAGTAATCTTAACAAAAAATTCATACATGTCTACTTCGCTAGCAAAAATTACTTGACCAAATCACCCAAAATAAAATTACAGCCCACTTGCAAGAACAAGACCTAGATAACTGCAAATCTAGATACAGCAGAGTGTATATACAATAACACAAACCTTGCTACACTGTAGAATCAACCTTCAAGGAATCTGGAAATGAAAGCAGCAACGACCTTCATAGCAGCAACTTCAACATCAGTCTGGGTGGAATTGTTGGGGGCGATGGAGGAGGGCGTGATTGCGGAGTTGGAGTTGGAGTAGGAGGCGGGAGCAAGGGTGAAGAAGAGGAAGGTGGTTGGTGTGGCGAAGGAGTGGATGCCGGTGGTGGAGTTTGAGATGCGGATGATTTATAGAGGCTGAGAGCGAAGAGGTTTGTGGAGTAGGACGAACGATTTCTTCGTGGTGATAATTGGAAAGAATGTCACTGAACAGAATTAGAGAACTAGAGGAAAGATCGATAGTGGTTCAGAGGGAGGCCATCGCCGCTGCTGTTATGGACGCCGATGAGGGTTTGTTTTCGGTTTGGCTCAGATTTGATATTAGGAGAGGGTATAAGATGTTGTGGAATCGAGGGAAGACTGAGTTTATCAGTGATGATTTTGTTAATTGTAAGGGATTGAGGCATTGAAGCACAAAGATATAAATTGATTAAGAATGAGAAGTAAAGATAAGAGCCGAGTGAATGGAGGAGAGAGTGAAGCGTGAATAATGAATATACTGGAAGAGAGAGAAAAGTGTGTTTTGCTTTTTGTTTTTGTTGTATTTTGGTGAGTTACAAAGAAAGAAAAAGTAGTTTTTATATAGACAGGTCAAAGAGGAAAATTCTGCTTCTTCTATCCGTTTACTATTTTTCTTTTTTTCTATCGATCCGCAACTCTTGCTTACAACCAATGAGAGCAAAGCAAAGTGTAACAAACATTTTTTATGACAGAAAAGCCCTTTAATGATAAAAATAACTTAAAAACCTAAAAGTATAAAATTAACTCAATTTAAAAAACAAATTATATTTATTTTTGAATATAAAAAATAGAGACACAAGATGACTAAAAACGGTAAAAAATGGACAAAAATCTATCCGAAAAAATGAAATGAACACATTAAAATAAACTACACGTCTCAAAGATAAATGAAAAAAATATTAAAATGATCAAAATCGAAATAAAGTGAGAACAAAAATATCAGGCTGAACAAACGTTTACGGTTAAAAATGAGACTTCAAACTGTATCAAAATAATAAATCGAGCATACCGTCATAATCTACGCGAAACACGGATTCATAAAATGATCAGTAAAAGGTGAAAACTTGAAATATTTTTCTCGCTATTTTTTCGCACAATATCGAATCGATTTTAACAGTCTGTCTATAAAACCAAAATATTTTTATTATTGACATATAAACAACTTGGAGCAATGCAAGAAACGAGTAAAGAGATAAAAATGCATGAAGTGAAATGTCAGGTAAAGACGATGCAAACTTTGATTTAAACTGACTTTTCTGGTCAACTTAAATACGACTAATGATGCAAAATATGATGAATGAAGGTATTTACTAATGATTGTGACCAAATGACAAAATACGGTATGAATGTGCGATTGAAAAAATTAGGGGCGAAACTTAGGGTGCAACAGTTGTGCCTTCGAGAATCCACAATCAACCGTACTTCGGGCTTGGGAGACTCAAAACTTTAATTGAGGCGCGACACCTGATGCTCTTGATTCAGACCTGTCTCTGCACATGACACAAAAGAAAACATGAACATACACCTTTGTATGCGATTAGAACTTAGTGATACATAGGCTAAAAATGTTCAAAACACTTGACAATCTTCGCATAGTCAAAGCTCGAAGGTGAGAGGTTAAAACCGACTGTATTTCGTGACCTTGACTTATCTTTAAAAATGAAAAAATAAATATGGGATCTTAGGTCAAAAATTAGGGTACAACAGGACCCACGACCCCTGAGCTTTTCCACCTATTATTTTATTACTTTTATCATTTATTTCAATTTTTTATTCATTTAAATCAAAATAAATCAAATTAAATGGTAAAATAATGAAAACAAATCAAATCTTGGGATTTTTGTGCACATTTGGAGTCCATGTACAACTAGCATGTTGATCAATTCGTGCAAGACTCATTAGGGTTGGAAAATATTAGATTGAAGCTTTTTTTAGAAAGATATCATACATGAATCAAATCAAATCACATTTTCATAATTCTCAAAGATATGATGCAATTTTACAACCCTAATTTAGTCTACTACATGTATACAACAAATGCAGATCAAAATAGGAGGTTTTGGCAGTCGTAGGGATCAAGAACAAAAACTCAGAATTTAGACAAAAAATGGGCATTTGATTTCTGCCTTAGAGGATGATTCCAGGCAATTGAAGGACTCTAATCACTTCCTGGCCATCTCCAGAAGCCAACAACATCATTTGCAGCCTTCAAAACGTCAAGAATCGTCTCCTTGACACATCACAGTTTGCAAACTTTCTCAAATTTGATTGTTACAATTTACGCATCATAACACATTTAATTGTTATATTTATGATCATCATCATGTTTTCAAGCTGACCACATAGTTTAATTGTATTTTTGGGACCGTTACACGCATCTGCCATGGTTAGGGTTTCCACACGAGTTTTAGGGTCTTTTTGTAGAGGAAACATTAGGCCATGAATCAAGTATCATGATGCTCGTGAGGCCAAGACGAGTTGATTGGTACCATCACAATGGATTTATCATGCTTGTACTGAATATTTGAATGACACAAGTTTTTAGCAACGGACAACGTCCGTAGGTATAGGTTGTTTATCTAAAACAACGGGCTGGAGTTAGAAGAAGGTGATTTGTCATCACCCCATTGGTCAGTTTGAATTCAGTGTGCGTGGTTTTTGTTCCAGGGTCATTGCATTTATTTTAGATATTATATATGCTTCTTACTATTATAACAAATTAACAAAGCAGCTCAGCTGGAAACGCATCATTGGTGGGGAGTACAAGGACCTGGGTTCGATCCCAGGTCCCAACAATTCCCTTGTATTATATTTTCTTATGTAATCATGTGTACCACGCTCTCAACCATCCACCATGCGCTAGCAATTCATGACCACTAGTTGCACTGCTAGCTAGATCTAACGCTTCTCCCCTGAATGTCCTTGGCACACCTCAGGTCAATGCTTGCACATGATCCAACGTGGTTGCTGGGCTTGGAGCTTAATGGGCTTGGAAATTCAATTCCACACCCCATTTCAGCTAGCATACATGCCCATTTGGTTATTTCTTTTATTATTTTCTTTAATTTCTTTTCTTTATTTCTTTTCCTTTTTTTTATTAATACAAAAATTATTTTTATTAAATTAACAAATCAAAAATCACAAAACGATCTCTTTTTCTTAATAAATATTTTTTGAATTAATTAGTTTAATTAATTTAGGGCAATTTAATTTTCTTTTTATAATGAAAAATAATTAGAATTAGGGTTTTAGATTGTACATAATTTAATTAATTTCCTTTAAAATACATCAAAGATCATTTTTTATAAATATATATTTCTTTAATTAATTAATTTAATTAGAAAATCAGATTAATTTAATTTCTTTCATAATTTTAAAAACAATTAGAAATTAGGTTTAATTGATTTGTAATTAAATTGTTTTCTTTAATAAAAATCCAAAAAAATACTTTTCTCTCAAATTAGGGTTTTAGATTATTTCAATTGTCCTCGCGTTTAATTTTCCGTGCGCTTGTTAATTATTTTTCCATTATTTTGTAACTATTCAGGATTTGTAATAGTTAACTTAGGGTTTTTATTTACTGTTTAAATCCCCAATTTTTGGTTATGTAATTAATCCCCCTCCCCGAAGTCTTGTAATAGCTAGGTTTTATTTCCTCGCACTTTTAATTTCCGCAATCTTTAACTGTCTAGATGTATGGCTAATAGGATTGTATGGCAAGAATGTTTGGAAAATTAAAACGGTAGATCACTTAATGTGCAAAGATTAAATAACTGAAATAAATCATATGCACATATTCACTCCTAGGGTTTACCTCACTTCGGTTTCCTTTGGTAAACAATCATTAAGCATAGGAGATTTTAGTGGTTTCCCTCCAGTCTAAAGAGATCAATTGTCCCATTCGAATGTTGCCTCGAAAATGTTGCCTCAGAAAGATCTTAAGACTCTAGGGTTACTACTAAAGTTTTCTAACTATTGCTTTAGTGATTGTACTTGTCCCTTTCGAATGTCCCTTACAACTCCAACGGCAGTGCTACCCACTCTTTAATAGTGGGATAGTGTTGTTTAAAGGAAATAGAATGAACAATCCTTTTTTCGAGTAGGTAGAATCTTAAGTACTTGCTCAATGAAAACTTTTTCACACAAACACCTTTCAAAACAAATTTTCAAAACAAACTTTGTCACATCCTTGAGGACTGATACAAGGGTTATCACGAAGTAAAACATTTTCAAGACAAACACACACAAGCAATTTGAAAAATGAGCAAGTACCTAAGAGCCCGTAGATAACTAAGGATAGAAAGGGTGCTAATACCTTCCCTTTCTATAATCTACCCCCCGTACTCAGAATATCTCGAAAAAAAGTTTTTTCTGTTCTTTTTCCTTTTCCATGATTGGATGAAATAAAAGTCGGTGGCGAATCTTTCTTACCGCGACATTTTGCAAACAAAAACGCAAAACGTAAACCAGTATTAACAATCGGTTCTGCCACCGTATCACGCTATCTCATTATTGAGAAATAGGTAGCATTGTCATTGGAGTTTTTTAGGGACATTCGAAGGGACAAATACGATCACAAAAGCAATGTTAGGAAATGTTAGTAATCATCCTAAAGCCTTAAAGATCTTTTTCCGAGGCAACATCTGAATGGGTCATTTTAGATCTTTCGGGGCTAGAGGACAACCACTAACAAACCCTATACTTCATGACCGTTTACTGAAGGCAACCAGAGTGGAGTAAACCCTAGGAGTGAGCATGTGCGAGTGTAATTTTCAGTTAATTTATCTTTTCACATTTAAGGTTTTCTACTATTTTAATTTTCAGTTAGTCTTTCCATACAATCCTATTAACATTCATCTAAGTTGTTTATAGTTTGCGGAAATAAAAGCGAGAAAGTTAAAGTCCTAGCTATTACAAGGCTTTTGCAGATACATAATTATTTTGACTGAAAATAAAGATGGGGAATTGAAACCCTAATTACTATTACAAACTCGGAGCAGTTACAATAATAATAAAAAGAAAATTAAAAATGCACGCGGTGAATTAAGCACGAGAAATAATTAAGAAACCTTGAAAATCTAGTTGAAAAAGATTTA